AGTGAGAAACCCATTCGAGCAGGCTGCTGTTGCAGGTTAGCACATAGCTGAGGTACTCAGCATCACATCCAGGTGTGACAAAGCTCAGCCCAGAAAGCCAGCTTTCTGGAGCCAAGTACCATTCCTCACCTGAGGCAGAGAGATGGTCACATCCCCCTTGGGCAAGGTAGGGTGGATGGGGCCACAGGCCACCAAAGCCATCAGTGGCATGCACAGGGAGGGAGGACATGGCTGGAGCAAAGTGCCTGCCCAAACTCACAGCCCAGGACACCTCTGAGAAACTGGAATGCACAACCTGATCCTCATTCTTGGATCAGGATGCAGGTTATTTCTTTAGGGAATGTAAGACTATGCTTACCCTGTTTCTTTTAAACACTGTCCCTATATGGTGTCTGTTAGGTAGCCCAGTGCCCAATGCAGCTGTCTGGGGAGGTGAGGACTTGAGCTCTTCAGCCTGAGGAGGTCAGGCTGTCACAGCTAGCCCTGTTTGGTGGCTGCATCTCTGAAGAAAGCAGCTGATGCTGCTGCAGTCATGCTGCCCACAGGGCATGCAACCTGGGGGCTCACTCAAGATATATTTTTTGACCAGGACCTAGGGACAAGCTTCCTTGTGCCTGTTCTTGAGTTCAGCCTTCTTTGTGTGTGACTGATCATCAGGGTTTCCTGGGACCCAGTCTTCTCTTCGGTATAAATATTATTAGTAAGTAACTAAGTCCAAGCATGAAGTGGATTTTACAAGTATACATGAAGCTGCTGAAAGCTTTAAAGTTCAAGTTTCAAGTGCTGAGCCAAATCCTTTAAACCTGAGAGCTCTGAACCTAAGGTAGAAATCATTCTTAAAGAGAAGCGTAACAACCAGTATGGATTTGCAAGAGCAGCTTTAGTCATGGCAATACAGTTTCCTTTTCCAGAAGGGTAACAGGGCTGGGGAGGCAGCGGGTGCTATGTCTGGGCTCTAGTGAAGCTTTTGACATTTTGACATGTGACTCACAGTATTCAAGAAAAGATTGTCTGGGTGAGCCCACTGTGGGATAATAACATTTGGCTAGAAAAACATTTCTTGAAAATAGTAATAATTATTTCATTGTCAGATGAAAGATGTATTGAGTGGATCCTACAGGTGTTCATTGGAGGGTCCAGTGCTAGTCAGTGTTTCCATTAATGACTTGGATAATGGAATAAAGAGTATACTTATTAAATCTGCGGATGACATCAAGCTGGGAGGGACTGAATACGCTGCAGGATAGAAATAGAACACGAGACAATCACAGCAAATTGGACAAATGATCTGAGAACACAAGATGAAATTCAACCAGGACATATTCGTGTAATTAGACTTAAGCAGGAATAATCAAGTTCATAAATACAGGAAAAGGAACAGCTGTCTAGGTGGCAATTCTCCTGAAAAAAAGAGTCTGGAAACTACTGTACAACACAAGGTAAAAAGTAGTAAAAACCACATCTCCCCACCACAGGACAAGCAGGCATATTGGGAATGACAGACCTGTGATGTAGGTTTTTCCCTGGAGGATTATGTCCAGTGTTGGGTGTCCCATTCTGAAACAGGCAGACGAGAGAGAGACCAGGAAAGAAGGGTATTGGTCACAGGTTTAGGATCCATGGCCAGCAGGAGCAGGCAGAACAGAAAAAGGTTGTCTATATGCTAAAAAAAAAGTAAATAAATAAAAAAGGAAGAGATGACTGGGGGAAGACACTGTAACAGTTTTCAAATAGCTGAACACTGCTATCACGGAAATAATAATCTACTTTCCATGCCCATGGTGAATAAGAGGCAAAAAAATCCAACTTCATCATGGGAGATTTGAGTTAATCTGTTAAGACTAGGGAAGCATTGGAATAGATGGTCCAGAGCTCAATCAAAATATTGTCAAGGGCAAAGAAGGTGCCACCGAACACGCCTGGGGCAAGGAGATGGACCAGATGATCTCTCAAAGCCCCTTCCAATCCTATTTCCTATAGCTTTTTTGATCAGTAGTAGCAAGTTTAAACAGAAGCTGCATTCCCCCTCTCTCAGATATTTTCCACAATGAAAAGGGGGAGTTTGGAGTTTTTACAGTACAGCTCAACACACACACCAGTCCCTACCCAGCTTCAGAAAACCTATTTTCTAAATACACCAGACACACCAAGGTACTCTCAACCCTATGTGGAACAGACCTTAGGACATTAATCTTTTAGCAACAAAAAACACAGTCCTCTTCTAACAAACCTGTGTAACTGCTTGTAGGGGCAACTACAGAGCCACAGAGCCCTGTGGCACCCTGCACATGCCTCAGTAGGCCCAGGCTAGGAAATGTGTTTACATCTCAGGCTCACTGGTCTGTGCAGTCCCAAAAATAGTTTGGGAGGCTGTTTGTTGCTGGGTTTTTTTAAATGTTTTCCTGTGGAAACATCTCACACGTTAAATGTTGTGCAGCTACCCAGTAAACTAAGGTCATGTCTACAAAGATGACAAAATCCTAAAATCAGTATCTGTCTCAGACCCCAAGCATAGCACCAATGGCAACTAACGTTTGCAACACCTGTGTTTGAAATCAGCCCTCATCTCTTTATAAGAGGAAAAGCCCTTTTGCTAAGAGCTAGAGCTGCTGCAAGACCCATCACGCAAGCAATGCACCATGCTGTTCTGCTGGAGGGCAGATCATTCCCATGGAAATGTGAAGGGAGCACGCACTGGGAATGCCATGCCCTGCAGTGCTCCCAGATGAACATGACACAGGTTATGAACATGTATACCACCGAGAGGAGAAAAAGTGCCCAGGACTGTAACTAGCAGAATTAGGGCAAAGGCATCACTTCCATCTTCAGTGATCATTAGACTTTTCTGCTGTTAAGATGATTAGGAATGCATGAAACACCCCCTTCCATGCCATAGATGTGTGCCCATATGCACCTATGGCAACCCTCTTCAAACTGAGGTCATGCTCCTTATTCAGTATGCCAGCAATGAGGATAATTAATGCCATTTCTTAGATCAGCCATAAAGGCACAGACCAGCACCGAGCAAAGCCAGCAAGTAATGTGTTTTGATGCTAAAGAGCTTCTGAGAGAAGCCGTCAGCTGGCCCCTGTTGTCCCAGCTCCTCCTGTGAGGCCTCAGCCGCTGCAGGCGTTTCCTCCCGGCGCTCTGGCTCTGCCTGCCTGGAAAGGAGCTAGTGCTGCCGCAAGATGGGTGCCCCCACTCCCAAGGGTTTAAGGGCAATGAAGGCTCAGGGCCACCCCTTAGAGGCTGCCCAGGCAGAGCACGGAGTAACTGTGGTATGAGCCAGAGCGAGCTCCCGCTGCACCTCATCTGGGTAGAAGGGGGTCCCTGCAGCCTGTCCGAGCAGCTCTGCCGCAGGGGCAAGACACAACCACGCTTTTCCTATCACCGCGCTCAGCAGGGAACAGGGACCCGTGGCGCAGAGGGCGATCTCTGCCCCTGGCCATCCTTCCTCTCCCATCTCTCGCCCACGGCATCTCTGAGCGATGCTCCCAACGCTGGCTGTGCCCCTGCTGCTAGAGTTAATTACAGTAATTATACCTGCGCTCCTCAGCTCCAGCTCCCTTTGTTGTGACTTCCCTGCCCATTCATTTGCAAATCTAATAGCTCAGTCAATTTTTAAAAGAGAAAAGGGCTAGGGAGTGCAAAGATACAAATGAAGAAAGGAAGATTCCTGCCACAAGAATACAGCAGGAATCGAGGAGCCATTGAGCAGCACCAGGTGTTTTATTTAGTGCCCCTGCAAGGGCTCCGTGCTGCTCCCAGCTCTTCAGACAGGCCTTTGCTGTGTTACAACAGTAGCCCAGAGTGGGGAGAAAAGAACTGCATCAGCCTCCCTCAGTGCCTTCCAGCTTACCTTGATCAAGGTTCGTAGCAGAGCTCAAGATACTGCCCAGTGCTTCAGAGACCACCTGCAGAAAGACAGGAGAGCTTCCACAGCACCCAGAATTCACAGGTGCCATGAACCTCCAGCAACTTCTCATTGCTGGGTCCTACCCATTTCTCAGGCCGGTTTCCTGTGGGAGAGGGGTGCTGCAGTATCAGCTGTACAAACAGAAGACTATTTTCATGCCTGGGAGCAGAGGCTTTCTAGCAGTGACCTAGGAAGAGACATTGCTGGAGGTGGGTCTGCAGTTCAGGTCACCTCCCTAAAGGACAGATGTGAGGTGAATCTTTTGAACAAAGAAGGGGAAAAGTATAACCAGAAAAAAAATGAGCAGAAATGGCTTCATAACTGTTTTCTGGTGCTTTGGACAAGAGGAAGCAAGGAGAGGAAGCCTGTGATGTGCCCTGCCAGCTGACACTGGCAGCCGAGTGGTGGGTTTTGTTCACCCATATACTGTGTACACAGTTTCAAGGAGGAAGCTACAAACCAGCATTATTTTTTGTCTTTTACTGCCAGTGGAGACAGTGAAAGACAGCGAGGGACAAAGACAGCCTGGCTCCTTTGCACTAAGTAAGTGCAGCAGTTTAATTAAACTGAGCTGAAGCACTTTCACACCAGCCATTACGCCAGTTCATCAGCGTAGCCACACAAATCTAAGGTTGTTCACAATATCATCCTGGACACCAGAATGTCCCACTGTGCGATGTTTCACCATGTCAGCACTAGAGCTGATTTTTCTCATTGACCATGCTGGAAAGGCAGTCCAGGTGGCTTCAGAAGTTCAGGAGCTTGAGAAGGTGAGGATTAAACTAATTCCCCTGAGAAAGTATTAGAAGAATACACATTTCTTTTAAAAAAGGATGAAAACAGGTGATGTTTCTCATGATCACAGTAGATGTTTATCTTTGTATGCTTTGTACACTAAACATTTATTGTTTCACAATTCTGAATAGGCAAGAAAGCACTTGTAGAGAGTGGACAGGAGCAGGAGGTAGTGAGGCCTTCTGAACACAGTAGGCAAGCAGAGAGGCGGTTAGGGAAACAGGTCAGAAATACAAAGCACTCCCATTGGAAGCTAATGTCCCACTGATTTTTTTTTTTTTTTGTGAAGTTGAAGCAACAAATTCATTTTAATATAACAGGGGAAAAAATGCAACCCCCCCAAAAGAGTAACAACTTGATTACAGGTAGGGAACATGAAACAAGAGTACTACATAGATCTGAGCAATGTGTAACTGCAGCGTGGCAAACTAGAGTCTTCAAGTCCTTTAGATGACGTGCTCAAAAGGGTTTTCCATCTTCCAGGAGGCTGATTGCTGGGGGAGGAGAGGAAGGATCTGCAATTAGGTTGATTAAAATAGTGGTCCCAGCATGGTCTGCTCTTCACTGTTGCCAGGAGACTAGAAGGCTGGGATGAACTGCTCAAACTTTTTATAACAAAAATAGTTATTTACTTCCACACCCTGTGATCTCGGTCCTCTCCAAGGCTGCACCTTCTCCATTAGTCCTCCGGAAAAAAAAAATCCCAACCCAACTTCACTTTCTTATACTTGTGTTAAGTTGGATTTACCATGTCCAAAACCACACCAATTTTTCCCTCCATCTTCCTAAACCAGTGCCCAGCTCCAGAAGCTATGCTAACCATTCGGGGGTTGTCCTTTCACTTTTTATAATATTAATCCTGTCTTTCCTTCCTGATCTGGACCCTCATCCCAGATAAGCAGGTCAATTCCAGGTTACTTGCCCCCACTACAGGATATATATCTGAAGCAAAGGTTGGCTACATGGCTCAGCTGATGAGGACATTGAGATGGGCAGCCACCCACAGGTTATTAAGTAGGCATGCACTACCTGCAGTCAGGGACTTATGCTTATGGTAACCTTATCCTTGTAAGGTTACCATAACACTTCAGGAAACAGAGCATCTTAATGTAGACACCAAGTCAGGCTACCTTAACAATTTACTCAAGTTTTTCCCCTCCCCTTTCCCAACTCATACAGAAGTGAAAGGAAGTGCTGAGTATATCATGAGAGATGGCTATAGTCCAAAGTGAAATCCTAGTTCTTCCTTCAAGTCTCTTTTGATGGCCATCCTAGAGCATACTGGGGGGCAGGGGAGGGATGGAGACACGACTGTTGAAAGCCTGGAGATCTCCATCTGTCATTGTAGTCCAATTCAGGCCATTTGCTTCAGCGTAAATTTCATCCTCCCTAAAGCCAAGTTTGTTAATGAAACTGAGCCAATGTGCCTTTTCTATGGCTTTCTCTTGTTGTATCTGCTTCTGCAAAAACTGCGCATGCCAAGAAATAAGCTCGCCTTTTAGGGTCTAAATGCCAACACCTTGAGCGAAAGGGAAGGGGCTGCAATGGATGGATAGCAGGCGTGACACAGTTTTGTTAAGGAAGTATAGAGATGATAGTGAGGTAGAAGATTGCAAAAATAGCAGCAAGATTAGCTTTAAGTTTAAATCTCTGCTACAAATGCTGATGAGTGCATGTGGGGGAAGAGAGTTTGAATGCCAAGAGAGAAAGAATCCTTGCTCCTGTTAACACAGCAGCAATCAGGCAATAGCTGGAAAGAGCCATTTAAACCTCCCTGTGTAGTGTTGAAACACAGCACGTAATTACTCATCATGCTCCTTTCTGCCCGCTGGAGGAGCTGTACCGCGCAGCCACCTCAGCACCACTGGGCTGCACGACTCGTCAGGTACCCTCCAGATCATGCGATGCAGAATTCACACAAGTACCTGAAAGTTTCCTGGCTAAATCCCACCATCTTTTCAAGGCTTCCATAGTCACTGCACCAAGCTCTCTACCTACTTGTGCTTGGACAGAGAAATGGCACTGTGCACAGGGAAACATAGCCTGAGAATAAGAGCAAGCAGCAGCAGTGCTAACAGAAAGTCTGGTTTGGTCCTTAGTCTTCAGGTACCAAACTGGGACACCAGCCCTGTTAGTGGCCCTGATCTGCATTTGCTCCAACATATTCACCCAGTACAAACAAGTATCTCTGAAGAGGGCAGGCACATTCAGAGACACTGTAGGGGCTCAGATGGTAGCACAAAGGCACAGCCATGTTAGCAGAGGATACAAACTATTACTAGCACTAGAAAAAGAGTTTCAGGTTTCCCACCAGTACTCTAATAGAAGCGTTTCTGCTTCAAAACCACCTTGACTGGATGTCAAGGACACATTATAAAGGCAGGTCAATCCAGGTGTGAAGCAATGTAGACAGAGAGAGCAGAAGCAAAAACCTAAGAATACACCCAAGAACCTTAAACCCAGCAAGCTCACTATGGCATCACTGCATTAATTGCTTCCTAGATGCTAATTACTTGTGGTTTAATTTTTGTACTTGCCATACTTCTGGCCAAATTAAAGTCAATCTAATTTAATGCCCCAACACAAACAGACTCCAAGTGCCTTTTTCCTTGAAAGCTTTTGCTGCTAGCCAGTACCTGGACACCATATTAGGAATAGCATTATTTTAACTCCTAAGTGGCTTCTGTCTTGTGTGTTGCAAACTGGGAAGACAGTCAGAAAAATAGTGCAAGAGGTAGAGAATGTGCCTTCTCTCCTGTGTGCTATAGCTATCCACTTTCAACAAAGGCTGCTGGGAGGGAAATGCAGCCCAGAGACATGCACCTCTATACATTAACAACGTCCAACAGATGTTTCTCAGGTTCATTTCCTGACTGACCATAGAGCCCACGGATGCTTTTCAAGCTTATCTTCAACCATTCCTTTCCATTTACAACCTCTTCTTGGACAGCAGCCTCCTAGCCTTGCCAATACTCCTTCCAAGCTGGGTATTGCTCCTCTGACATTGTCCATACCTCAAATTTCTAGAGGGTCCTTGCAGCTAAGAGAAACATCCACCCCATTTGTTGCAGCATCTCCAGCCCCAATGGCCACACAGCATCAGGCACAGAGGAGCCCCAGGAGGGAAGGGAGGATGCAGCATAGACTTTCTATAGATCCTGAAAAAGTCAAGACTGCTTTGAAGGGTCTGCATAAGCAAAATCTGTTATTTAGCTCCCTGACAGCAAAGCAGGTGGTGAATTTACAGAAATCCTTCCCAAAACAGTTTTGCCACAGATTTCTGTCACTTCACAAAAGCTCTTCCCTTCCACCTTGATGATGACCTTTGCCACTGATGGCAGGAGATGAGGATGTTTGTTTCAGCAGAGAGATGGCTTTGCAAATCCAGAGGAATCTGGAGGTTATTGAGTAGCTGACACAAGGAGGATTAGCAAGAGCATGGGTTATCTTCATAATAAATACAGCCTGCCACACATCTCCACATTTAAGAACAGCTTCTCAGGGTCAATAGGCTTGGTAGCTTAGATCAGTCAATAAGACCTAGTATTAGCTTCAGCAAAAGTGTCAATTCCTGCTTAATAAAACATGGTTTATGTTTTGAATCTCCAAGAGAGCTTTCTACTGCAAGCTTCTCCTTAAATGGTCAAATCTCTTCAAAGCCCAGGGGGCAAAATAAAAGGCCTGGTGGGCCAAGAACAATGTTTTGAGCCTGCATGAGCAACACATTGGTGCAAAGTCAAAAATCCCCTCAGCAACACAGGACAAGGAAGAAACTGGGCAGGTGGAGACCTCCACAGAATACAGCACTTTTCAAATGCCTCAGCACTACTTTGCTTTTCTCACAGCTTCTCTCACCTGTCCTCAACTGCCATCACACACCATCCTAGGCCCACAGCCTACACACAAGACATGTAGTCATTGTTAGGCTTGTGAAGTCCGAAGAGAGATACACTAACATGCATCCAAAAGCCACCATCATCTCCAGGAGCAGGACTTTCTATACCCACCCTTCCCTTTGCTTTTTCCCAGGCAGAGAAACAGGGAAATACTTACCTTTCTCCATGCAAACCAACCCTGCCCCTTGAAGCAGCCTCACTACTCCTGGCTCTGCCTCCTGCCCCCTTTTCCTCCCCTTCCCTCTCCACATCACCCACATGTCATACCACATTAGCTACCAAAGCCTTCAGCAGATGCCCTCATTACCTCCAGCAAGGCAAAAAGCAGCCACAACCCAGAGCTGAAACCTTGTCACAGTTTGTAATGAGCTGATGGGAAAATATTTCTGCTTGATTAGAACCCTTAACAAACTCCTGATTATTATGAGTGGAAGCTGGCTGGCCTCCTGTTTTGTCCCATCTGTAACAGCAGGACAGCTTCTTGCATCCCCCCATGTATCTCTTCCACTCAACCCAGGAGAAAGAGGTATAGCAACTCTTCACTGATTTGTACCACACACTGGCAACAGCAAAAGAGAAATACTGCTGGTGTTAATATATCAGTCTTTGCTGTAAATCAAGGGTTAAGCTTTCTGCTGCTTGGGAAAAACCTTTAGTCACTGGCAATGTCACCAAAGAACCAGTGAAAGACAGAGTCATGTTGTACCCCAGAGTGTGTTGTGGTTGGGGGCTTAAAGACCTTTTAACAAGTGCTTGGAACCAGGATGCTCTTTTTCCATCTATTAGGAAATTGTCCCCCTCTAGCACTGAGTACTGTCAGGTGATCTCACCAGCAGAGGAAACATACAAAATATGAGTTTACAAAGCAGCATGAAGTCAATACTACATGGTGAGCACAGAGACGGGGACTCCCAAGGCAGAAACATGGATCAGGTACTGCCACACTTCTCCCACACATCCTCCTTGGTGGCAGCTTCAGGAGGAGGGCAGAGAGCCTGGGACTGGGATCCCTGCAGGTTAAGCTTGTGGTGTACCTGCAAGGCTGTACTCTGAATCACATCAAGTGTTTTCTTGTCTTCTTTCAGGCTGGGACCAATGACATCCCCATGAGACCATGCCCCTCAGCAGCCTCCATGTTACCCCAGCACAGTAGGATCACCAGGCAGTGGTGATCAATAGGAAGAGCCAATCCGTCTTCACCCCACATACAAAGTCTGGGACTTCATACCATGGAGGGGTCCTCCACCTTCCTCTCCTGTCCAACTGTCTCCACCTTAAGGCCTTCCACTTCGCCTCCTCCAAATTCTTCAGCCAAAACCTTGCAGCCTCCATTCTTTACTCCTTCTCCAAAAGCCATCACAGCAGCAGTTCCACTCATCAAGGTATTCTTCCTTCCACAGTGACCAGCAGTATCTTTTCTCTGGCTTCCCAACAGTCCTTTCTACAGCCTAAAACCCAGGCCAACAAATGGGAAGGGACAGGAAAGGTTCCGCAAGCCCAACTTACCTTTTAACACAACCAATGCAACAGTCGTCGGCAGCATCAGTTTGAGTGGAAGAAAACAAACCCAAACACTAGTTGCTCTGATTAAATATTAAAGGTGGAGCACACCTTTACTGCATTTTTAAAGGTCATCTTTGGCCTTTAAAACCTGCAGTTTCCTGGAGCATCTGAACTGATCTTGGGAACTGAGATGCCTCATGTGGTCTTGGTCATTCAACTTCAGCCCACATAACTCAAGTGCTCAAGATGATCTGGTGATGTGACAGAGCCAGGTGATTCATATGAATAGGAGGGCTTGAATGGGACGCTCTGGTGACCACTGTGACTCAGTCTTTGCTGCTGTTGTGTCACAAGAAATGGCTGGGACCAGATAGACAAAGTCAGTTGGTTAGTCATTGTGCCCTGCTCTGGTTATAAAGGTTTCAAGGTACTCAGTAATTATTGAAAACAGGCACAGCTGTATTATATGTAAATACATACCTATGTATTTATAAATGTCAGGAGATGTACTTTCTCATTTAGTTTAGACCTTCTATAAACAGAAGTATGGAGTAGGAAGAAACTTCTCCAGTTGGCAAGTCTTAAGTGTTGTCCATTTGTGTGGCTTTTCTACCTCCCTCTGGGCCAGCTAGGACGAAGTACTCTTGGAGGCTGCAGACTGATCTAGATGGAGCATTAGTCTAATCTGGCCACTAAGATTCCAGTTTCATGTTAGAAATGGCAACTTTTACTTGTTAACTGGTGTTAATTTTAATCACTTTTTTCCATTCAACGTCACCATTTCCCTTCAGTCTGTGTTATGCCAGATGTTCAGGGCATGCGGTTTGTCCTTCCAGCAAAGGAGAACTAGAAGGCTTGTGCCTGGGAATATTCTACACGTTCTCTTTATGCACACAGCACTAGAGCAGAGGAGGTGAAGAGCCTGTAGGAGCTCTCAGAGGCACCTCAGCCCACGACTGGTGTGGATTTCCCCTTGAACTGATATTAATAAAAGACCTAAGCAGAACAGTGGTGCTCACAAGTTTCTCTCTCTAGGGCTCCTGGCTCTGCCCCAAACCTTGCAAAACCCCTGTGCCACATTCCATCCTTCCATGGCCAAACAAGAAAAATAACTTGAAAGACTGCGCAGTGGGATCATCCATCGGCACATGCCTTAACAATATCAACGTTAATACTCAGCACTTGTAACGCTTTTGACCCATATATGTCAAAGCCCTTCTGTGGAAAGAGAGATACTCTGTGGCCTGGTAGGAGCCTAGAGATAACCCAGTAAGATTTAGTAACAGTGGCTACTATACTCATTGACCCAGCTGAAGATGTATGGAAAAGTGACAAAACCCTCTTCCCAACATGCAGCTGGTTTGGTGTGAAGCCCAGAATGGCTTCCCTGGAGTAATGTAGTGTGAAATTCAAGAATATCTTTATGTGAATACTGTAGTAACACAGTTGCCTTTGCAAGCTAAATTTTGCTGCTTCTGAGTATAATCTCAAGCAGAATCTGTTGTTTGAATTCATAACGCATAAAAGACCTGCCTGAGCACTTCTCATTAACATCCCAATACAGGCTATGGGGACAGAGATTCAACAGCGCTCTGCTTCCCCTATTTCTCCCATTTGTAACCACGTGGCATGTATTTCTGGGCAGAGGCTGCAGTGTCCCACCGTGGTATATCCTCAGCAGCTCTTTTCCATCGAGATGTAAGAAGTCAATGACAAAATAAGGGTGCTGGTAGAGGCTGATTCCCATCCTGCTGTAACACACCCAAGTCCTCTTCTGTCCTCCTAGCCAAGCAAGAGCCCTTGACATTTTGTTTTATGCTGTTATTTTCCCTTTTGCTTTCTCCTCCCCTCTAAACCACACTGTTCTCAGAGCTGCCCATCCTCTCCCTCCACAGATGCTGTCCAGGCTCAAAGCAATTAACTCTGACACTTTCTCTGGGTCTCTTCCTCTGAAGATTACTGTCCCATGTTCAGAGTGGATCATCCATCAACCAAAAAGCCAGCTGCCACCCAGGGGTCTGGTGCAGCCCTTTGGCACTCGTTCTGGAAGGTCTCTGGCTGCACAGCTGGTAGAGAGTGAAGAAAGCAGTGCATCAGGAACAAAACTAGCATGGGCTGGAGTTTAGTGTTCCAGCCAGCATGTACATCCACAAACATGAGCACACATATGCGCACTCATAGTAGCAGCTCCACAGCCTCAGATCTCTGGAGATGGCTTGGAAGAAGAGCCCAGGAATAAATTAGCTGTCAGGAGACAATTTGCCTGCTCTAACACTGCGGAGACCTCCCTTTAGGGGAACTCGCCTTGCCAAGAACTGGGTAGGGTTTTCAGATGACTTATGGAACCTGCTAGTGTCAATATCTGAAGAAAATGTGAAAGCGAACTAGAGCTGAACATCGTGCCCATGCTGAGCCTGCATGCCGTGAGCCCACAGCCCTGTTCTTGCAGTGCTGCAGGACCTCCCCGCCAGAGCTGGAGCTCCTGCATGCTGGCTGACAGGCTTCTAGCCTGCCATAGTCACCACAGCATCTCCTTTTCCCTGCTAACAGCCCTTCTTCTGTGCACAGAGCACAGGCCAATGCTCTCATGAAGTGAGATGGCACCTTCTGGTCTGGTGATACCACTGCAGACCCGGCTTTCCTCACAGCCCAGCCAAAACACCTCCAGCCCAACCACTGTGCCTGTCCCAGCCGCCTACCCAGGCCAAGCTGAGGTATGAGTTCCACCACTAGTAAGACCAAACTATTGATCTTTGGAATGAGTTAAAATCCAGCCCAACATCCACCCATAACAAGGGCCGTTGATAAGCAACGACAGCATCTTTACAATATGGCCCAAACTATAGCCAGGCTTCCTTCAGCCCACCAAGATAACTTGGAGAGGCAAACCAAGAAGGAGAGAAACATCACTGCAGACTGGGCTAAAAAGGCAGGGCCCAGCAAGAAAAACAAGAGGGAAATGACTCAGGACATACATGCAGCATGCAGTCTGCTCTGGGCAGCTGGGCACAGCCCTACCAGCTTCATAGAGCTGAGATGGGGAAACATCTGCTTTGTGGCTAAAGCAGAGACCAAAAGGAAGCAGTGTGCCCTGTGCCAGTTGGCGGTCCCTCCCTGTGCCCTTTTTGCCATGCCCATAGCACCAGCCAGCTGTGCTGTGAGGTGATGGCACATGGGCTGTCAGTGCAGCAGACAACAGGAAGAAATCAAGCTGAGAAAACCCATTGCAAGTGGAACAAATATGAAAGAAGAGAGGTCAAACAGTGAGATGGAAGCTCCTTGCTGGGAGTGGGGCTAAGCTGGCCAGGTTGCTGGCAGTGAATGGACAACTGGATGATGCAACAAGCCATTTAAGAAGTCCAGTTTCCTCTGCTTTTCACTACCTTTTCTTTCCCATCTTTCCTTTGTGTTTCCCTTGTCAGCTTTTGAGGGCAGACAGCTTATCCCATCAAGCTGTCCTGAGAGGAGGGACTGGGCTGTCTGACCCTCTATCAGTTCCTACTGACAAGCATTTATTCAAATCCTTCTCCAGTTTCAACCAAGAGGCACAGAGATCCCAGAGATGATGAAAGTCTTTCAGATCTAATGAAAATAAGTAGGTGGATAGAGAAGACTCTCTGAGCATCCCCACTGCAGGAGAGATTGCATTGTGAACTAAAATACAAAGCACCAGAAAGCTTTCACGGGAGAAACCATGTAAATACCCCAGGGCACAGGAAACACATTTAACCCTCCTCCATGTTCAGAAGGACACTTGCAGCTGGACATGGAGCAGGGAGTCAGCAGGCAATG